CCTACATTTTCCTTTCCGCAAACCGCTGGATACTCCTAAACGCTCGAAACGACTGAACCCTAGAACGACACCTAAACTTTGCTTTTCGCCCAAAACGCTCAAAACGTTCGGAACGGTAAGCAAAGCTTGGGATCCTGCACTACTTAGCACACGATCCTATTTGCGGTCCGCGCCATAACGCCTATACAAAACATAAATCTGTAGATATAGTTACAATGTGTAGTCGGCCAATAATAACGCAGTATGAATCGCTAGTAAGAGAGCAGATTTCGTTTCCATTACCTGCACCGAAATGCCTACCGATGAACGTTTCCCTTTTCAATTAGCATGCAATCCGCTCGCTGAAGTATTAGTAGGTACTATGAGCCCTTGTTATTCGTTCTCATCAGTAATTGAAAGTTTGAATATAAAAAGAGCTCTTGAACGCATGAAGTGCCTTTCAGACTTACGGTTCTCCTCGAATTTCCCTGAGATTCCTGTTTCAGGCGAACTACACCCCCCCCCGCTCGTCGACATCGACATTATATAGTAGGATGAGTTCATTTTCTGTCGCCGATGCCCCATCTCCCACTCTATATCATTTTCTGAAAGCAACGCCCAGCTGATGCTGCATCCTGCGTTATCAGTATGGTGACCTTACCATTCTAAGTCCTCTTACCAAATCTTATCAGCTGCTTAGCCCTTCTTGTCACCCATCAATAATGTTCCTGTCCCACACCCTATACCATACCTTGGAACCAACGTCCCACTGTTGCTGTGTCCCGCACTATGGACTCGGATGGCCCTCCCCTTCTGACGCCTCTTATCGGATCTTATCAGCTGATATCACTCCCTGTCACCCATCAATAATGTTCCCGTCATCTATATCACTGCTTGGAATCAACTTCCTACAGCTACTGGGACCGGCGCTATGAATTTCGTGACAGACAGACAGACAGACAGACAGACAGACAGACAGACAGACAGACAGACAGACAGACAGACACACACGGACATAGCCGATTATAGAAAGTAGGATTATAGCCAGCCTCCAAGGAAGCTCACCAGAAATTAAGGTTGTCTAAGAGCCGAAATAGAAAATCGAACATGTCTGAGAAGGTGACTGTTCCAAACGAGAAAAATGTCTTGAAGGCAGAAAGAAAAAAAAACAAAAAAACAAAAAAAATGAAAGATTGAACCTGAGGTCTTACCTATTTTTGCTGATCGATTGGAAAATCGGCACAAAGTCCTCAAATGAAAGGCGAGCTTCCTTTTCGTATGCCGCACAGCATCGACCAATTTCGGCCTCTGTTGGATTCTGTCCAAGTGCCCGTAACACGTCACCTACCTAAACAACCGAACTGGAGGAGTTCTAAGGAATGAACATCAATAACAATTGATTCCGCATACCTGTTGGACGCTTATTTTCTCGTCTCCTCTACTATCAAAATAGCAAAACACCTCGCGACAATCGGCTAACTGGTCATCCATTGCACTTACCATTGACTACAAGTAAACTGGCCATTAGGTTAAGAATTCCCACCAAACAAAACACAATAGATTGCAGAGTTCACCAAAATCAGCCAACAAGACTAACATTTCTGAATATTCATCAAAATTTACAGACAGAATAAAATAAAGCCATCTTCAGAACTTCAACAATGTCACCGACTTTTAGTGCATATATAAATTCACCCCAAAATGGAACCCTATCCAGAGCCTACAAGTGAACAATCGATCAGATTCCTAAGTATCCGCGAACACTGTCGGCTGACTGACCGAGGTGTCGGGCTGGCGGCACGAACTACAGGGTGACTCATCTGCACCCTCCTGGCTGCGCACAATATTTCCAGCCGCTGATTTCACCTCAGCAGTTCGCTCTCTCGCCGGGATTCCTTCTCATACAGATTAGGAGCGATAACAACAAGTAAACCGTATTGTAAATAATAACCACGAGAAGTTTCAATAAACAATTCTACAAGGTTTAGCTAATATTTAACTTTTAATACACATCATTAATTCCCCGAACGAGGAACGAAACCACAAGTCCATCACGTCGCAAGGTAAACTCCGCGTAGCTGTCCGATACGATGTCTGAAAAATAGTATTTATTTATTTTTATTCATGCGCCCAGTAGACGCGCTAACACCACACCTGATCGAAGAGCACCCGAAAAAATATTTACCTACCTCGGTGCTGTAGTTTTTTAAGGAAGTAATCGACAAATCGTAAAGGTATGCACTCGGGAGAGGCGGTGATGTAATGGCAAGCAACCCGCTTACCAAGCCCATGGTCGCAGGACAAATCCCGGTTTTGTTCCCGCACAAGCCAAGGTTTTCCCTCTATGGAACCAGTAAATTGATAGCAGACTGGTCTGAGAGGATGAAAACAGAAGTGTTCATCGGCTGGCCATCCCGTTCCCCCAAGCCATTGTAAAGACTTCCTCTGGGACCTCTTAACTGGTATCAGACCCGTCTGGGAGGATCAAAATATTGTAGTGCTCATCGTTTGGCCACACGCTCCCCTCCTCTTCCCCGAACTGCATAGAGCTTTAGGACTCTTGGCAGTAGAATCTGTACCGCATCCCTAAAAAGCACAATCCAACAGCGGAAACTTTGTTGCTTGTAAAGGACGTGCTGTCACCCACACCTGAGAGCGGTCCTTTCCATATGCGAAGTAAATGGATCCGCAACTGCTGTAGCGTGCACTTTCTCAAGTCAAAGTAGCATGGAAACGGAGTCCAGGGTAGAGGTACCCGATGCCGTCGACTTTCCACCCGCGCTGTCCTCAGTGTACAACACTCGCGTCGATACCAGTATTCCGCAGTGAAACACCCAACACCCACTCGCGGTAGGGAACAATCAAAAGTGAGGGCGCGCAGACAAGCAGAGCGTTTGGCTATAGCAAGGCGTGTGACTGGCCATGGGGCAGTGTGAGCGGAGCATGAGGGCGGCACCCAAGTATCGTTACGTTCCATCCCCGTTTCCGTCCACTTTTGACCGGAGAAAGTGACACGCTATCGCAGCTGCGGATCCATTCACCACCACATGGCAAGGATTCATGGAGAAGTGTACAGCTTGTCCTCAATCCTGGGAAAAGTGGCCGGTTCGTTGAGACCATATGAACTTTCACTCTGCCGCAGGAAATTTGTTTATATCTCAACATGGTTCAGCAATTTGATATTTTTATTGAAACAGTCCACATAAAGTTAACAAATAAGGAGGCATACAGTGGGCGGACTGTCCCCAGTCAAACTCTTATTGATAACGTCCAATTAGACCACAGGAAGGGCGGGTCACCTTGAAAATTTGATTACCGTAACCTTTGGTCTGATTACTTTCGTAGTCAGGGGGTTCTGGTGAAAAGCGCGTGACAGACCAGCGTCCCTTCTTTCACGCTTTCTATGCATTCCGGTCAGTTGATTATAAGTACAGCGCTCACAAGCGAGAGCAAGTACATCGCAAGGTTGCGCCAAATAGTTCGGGCTGCAGTAACCGCAGCATGACCTCTCAATAACATCATCGGTCTTATCGAGTTTTTAGCTGCTTCGGTCGGTCAGGCTGCGTTCATGCGTTTGAGGCCACGGAACCGGGATTCGGAAAACTGAGAAGTTAGCGGAATCGACCACGAAACTTAGAGAATCCGCGAGAAAGATTGTATACGTATCTACTGATTTTCGATTCTCCAATAAAGCGGGGCTATCGACACATGTCTAATCTTCTTCGCTGATTCCCCAGCAATGCAGATTCTGCGATTCTCCAAATGTAGAAACGTATAAACGTTTACTACATAAACGCAGCTTTGGGCTCCCGAATCTCTATGGATTACAGAAGTTCCGGTCAATATTGCATTTGTTAATATCTCACAATACCGTTCCCTACACGTTTTTTCCAGTCTCAGAAAGGACTAGGACCTGACACTTTAATTAATCTAATATAATTCACGTGTTCTGTTATGGATATTAACTAGCCCTTCTCTCACGTTTCTTAGTTGCAGCTGATCTTTCAGGCCCATTTCGCCTGCTGTTCACAAAGCAGCATAAAACTCGATGAACGGCTGAATAAAAAATAAGTCTACTTACTCAGAAGTACATTGAAGTGCGCCATGTACATGAAACCGGCGAAGAACATATGGACCACCTTCAGCGGTACCCTCACAGTGTACCACTGTTCTTGAGATTGCTCTTCTGAAACAATACAATCAGCTTCTCAAAACATGCTAAAAGAAGTTACTGTTGTCGCCGCGGCGCTGCACTGGTCGCCATCGTCTTTTGAGTCCAATTTTTAGTCCGCTTTAGCTCATAATGCGAAGACACGCTGTACGGATACTTGAGATGAGGGCCCTTTTCGTGCGAGGCAGAAGAGTTCCCATCTCAAGAAGTAGAGCACTTGAAAGTGCGCGGCAATGAAGCTAGAGGCTTGTGACTCGCTGAGCTTGAGTTCGCCTGTCGCTGCCTAGGGTTTGCTATACGACAGGCATTTCGCAGTCATGACAAACGCCACATGGCAAGTCACACGCTTAGTCACAGCCATACGCCAGTTGTCTGCGTCCTCTCATGTATGTCGAGCCGCATAGCATGATAGAAACGAATGTTTTTGCTTGTAGAATACGGGAGGGGAGAGACAGAGCGAAGACTAGGCCAACATAAGTCTCTAGTTTCATTACCATGCACTTTTGAATGGTGAGAGTGCCACACCGTCAGCTTCAGAACTGCCCAACTCGCATACGGGAAGGATCCATCTTTCGGGGATTTGAATTCTACAGCCTTCTGTCTATTCGAAACATTCTAATCCAAATACGAATTCAAAACACTGCTTGGATCGAAAGTACTGTGCTTCTCGAGACTCTTCTTGGAAGAATTCGAGGGCACGAAAACGATGTAAATGGGCTGTGTATCAAGGTAAAAGTTTACGAAACAAAATTGGAAACGGTGGGTATATTGTGGTCTCCCATGCTTCAAATGCTGTTCCCGTGTCGTTCCCTATGACAGGAAACGAATCTCAAAAATTTATCTCTCAATCGAGTCAGCCTGTACCTGTCATGGTATCATTCATCAGATTAGTGAAGTAGACCGTAATGTCTGCGTGCTCCACGAGACATTTGAGGTGCATCTCCCCGCTGTTGCTCACTTTAAGAGTCTGAATTAGAATTACTGAAATGATAAAAGTCGTTATCTACCATAACAAAACGATTAGTCCTATTAAAAACTCACAATGTTTTTGTTGGTAACATTTTTTAGTGAATGTAGCACTTTCATGACAGATTTCACGGGAGGGAAATAAATGCCCATCTAAAAGGAATATATCATTCTAACTCGGAACGCTTATAACAGTTGGACATACCATAGAATTAGGAAGATCTGGGCGTTGGTACTTCGGCCAATAGGCAGTCTTCAGAAGTTTTATTGGAATTTCATGTACAGTCAACCTATCGCGAAGCTCCAGCTGAAGGAATGGTATTCGCCAAGCTCCAGACTGAAGAATGGACCCTGGAAAACCCTTTAGCAGCAAGCATTCCTCTGGTAGTTGCAATCAATGCTGAAAACCAACCTCTTCTGGCTTCTGGCGCAGCTTCATCTTCAAATGAGGTTTTTTTAGCAAGATCCGGCAAACCACTTTTTTCTCAAAGACTTCGTATTGTCAAGTTCCAGAACGCATTTCACTTCCTTTCTTTCGCGACATTCCCACAAAGTCTAAAATAACCGATGTTGCTGATTAAGCCAACGCATGGAAATACGAAATTTTGCTACAGGCTATTGAAATTTTGGATTATTCTCTTCTGATGTCATTATTCCATTATATTACAAGAAAGCCTGGATTGCCAGGGGCAACACGTGGGGTAACTCCGGAGGCCTGAGCCGGCAGCGCAAAGTGCGCCGTACCATTTACTGCCACAGGGCCGCCTCTTGTCCCTCCGAATTTCGGTGCCTTATGATTACCTAGTCAGAATGAGCTGCCGACAAGTTGTAGTGGCAAGGAAGGGACACTAATGAAACACAGAATCCGCGGCGTTTAGATATCGGATGGCGGCATCCTAACTTTGGCGCAATCAGGCCTCCCATACCCTTCGGGTCGTTAATACGTGTGTACGCAACCATTGTTTTCCCCGAACTATTATGGAGGGCCTATATAGTATTCTATGAATGCCACTGTTCTCAATGGAAATGGAATGCGCTTGGCGTATCTTCAGAAGGAGACTGTACTGATGAACGCCAAAAGTTGGGCGGCAATACTACCTCACGGGCCCGGACCCCACATTGCAATTCAATGACTGATCTGGTTTGATTGGTGGGGGATTGCCCGGCAATTACGCCGCAGTTGCGGCTGCCAGAACGTTCTATCACCAAAAAGGCTGAGGTATGGGTGCAAAGTCAGAGTCCGGTGCTCTGTAACGGGATAGCGCACCTCACTTAGAAAGCGTGCATGTGGGTTTGTTCCCGCCTCACTTCTGTCTATTAACTCAGTATTCTTCGTCAATAATGCGGTGGCGTCAGCCTGCTTTTGTTTCGCCTACGGAATTTTATAAGAATCAAAAAAGCTCCTAGCCATGTAAACGCATATAAAAAAATTTCGAAACGTGTTACAAATGTTCAAAGGTGCAGACTTGGGAGGAAATTTGGGCTTACACTAAGAAAATTCCCCTGCCCTTGAAGTGTTTCGTTTGCAACAAAGCACAGCCCTGAAAGCAACTGTAATAATTGGGCACAATTTGTTGGTAAAAGTGAATTCAACCTTCTTCGGTGATCCGTAGTCCACATTGCTTTTTACACATTTTCGCGACCGCACCGACACACTCTAAGAAGAACTTTTACTTTTATGAACCTAACATGATTACTATTTCTGATTAAGCGTCTGCGTCAGCGTTTTGAGTCCATGACAGCGTTTTGAGCGTTTCGCGGACAGTCTCTCAAAACGCTATCGTAAGCTGAAACGATACCTACAGTTTCTTAGTTGCTCAAAACGTTGCCGTACGCTCAAAACGCTTACGCAAAGTATGAACGCAGCCAAAATGTTCACTTACTTGCAAATGATTCGACATTTCCTTGTTCAGAAAGCACAGCCGAGAATCTCATCACTGAAAATGCTACTGAGATCTCCAAAACACATAAGAAAATCAAAACGGTACAAAGAGTCTCTACTCTATGACCTCCATGATGAAAACACACGTGGTGAACTTACTTTATTCCAGAAATAAAGACTATTTCAACGAGTCACCATTGAGCAAAGATACACCAGTGTTCTACAAAACGTAATTTCAGGCACATCAAATCAAAAAATGCAAAAACAGTAATAAGAATATACCGTTATGGAGAATTCTGAGGATCTTCTCGGATAAAATGGAGATTTAGCCAAAGTGATGCGTCTTGACGTGCATGCCCCATGAGAAATTCGTTCCAACCAGATCCTCGTAGTTGGACGCCGTGCGAGTACACGAGAGAAAAACGGTGCTGTTGCCCACTCGTCGGAAGATGGATCTTTTCGGGAGGCCACATGATTCACATAGACTACCTACACAAAA